CCCATCCATGCTGCAGGTGATCAAGTTGTTACCTTCAGTCAAATTGTTCTGGAAGTTATGAGGCATCTTGATGGAGCATATGCCCTAATTTTCAAAAGCCGACATTATCCAAATGAGTTAATTGCTTGCAAGCGTGGCAGCCCACTACTTCTAGGTGTAAAAGTAAGCAAAACGCAATTTGATGAATTTTGAGCTTCTAAAAGCGTAGTGACAGATCTATATACATAGTGGTTTTCTGACATCATTTTGTTTAGTTTTATTTTATGAATCTTCTTGATTTTGTTGATGTTTCTTCAAGTGAAAGTGTATGAATGGCTTCTTGAGGATACTGGCATCATATTCTCTCTTTATCCTGACAATTTATCTTTCTAAGTTCATGATGCTTGGCTGTATAAGCTGGGCAATGCTTATTTCAAGATATAGGCGAATGCATGGCTTATGTTTCATGCATTGCCAATCCTGCTGATGAAGAAGCATGATGTTGCAGTGTATTGTTGGCTATCTGTAGTGCTTCTCAAATGCAGGTTGTTAAATGCAATGTGCTCATGAATAATTTTTGATGCATTAATAGTCTGCTCTGGAGAGAAGCTATTCATGTCAATAACATCTGATGATGAAATGAAGTTTTCTTTCTTTTTAAAACTGAAGAAAATGAAAATCAATATACCAAGTCTACATGTGAAGATTATTATCTTTTTTTTTTTTTTTCCTTCTCTTTTTCTTGTTCGTTTTTTATGTCCATTTACCATCCTTAAACCATATCCTGTGCAATATTTTATTGTATCCCTCTTTTCTTGCTCATCTATTTTTCCCACTTGATTGATGTTGGGTAGCAGTGGCTGATGTTGATTCGTTGATGAGGATTGAAGAGACTTCTTTTCCAATTTCAGGAATTGACAGAAAATATGGTTGATGGTTCAGCATTTGAGGATAATAACTTTCTATCAAAAAATAGCCACCCCAAAGAGTTGTTTTTATCTAGTGATGCTAATGCGGTGGTAGAACATACAAAGAAGGTCTTGGTTATTGAGGATGGTGAAGTCGTTCACCTCAAGGTACATGTGCCTCTCTTTCCATTGTGGCACATATGAGCTAGTGTGTATAGCATATTTCTAATCACCGGAAGTTATAAAATTTGACTCTGGGTAATGTTGATATGAGAGAAAAAGAATCTTTGCAAAGTACTTTGTGGATAATCTTATTCATATTTCCATTTTCACAGTTAACATGATGAGATGAACCATTAACTGTTACTACATGATTTATTGTATATTTTGCCTAATTGCTTTATTGTGGTGTTATAACTTTGTATGGAATACACCATACTTACGAGTAATTCTTACAGGACGGAGCAGTTTCAATTTTGAAGTTTGAAAATGATAAAGGAAAAAATGGTGGTTTCCTTTCTAGACCTGCTTCAGTGCAACGGGCTTTATCAGTTCTTGAGATGGAGGTTGAGCAAATTAATAAAGGACATTACGAGCATTATATGCAGAAGGAAATTCATGAGCAACCTGAATCTCTTACTACGACAATGAGGGGGAGGCTTATTCGGGGAGGATCGAGCAAATTAAAAACTGTACTATTGGGTGGATTGAAGGATCACCTTAAAACAATCCGACGAAGTAGAAGGATTGTTTTCATTGGTTGTGGTACCAGTTACAATGCAGCTTTGGCAGCTAGACCAATATTGGAAGAACTTTCTGGTTAGTGCCATGTGACTTTGATCTTTGTTGGAATCAAAAAATGGTTTTCATATTTACTGTGTACTATTTACATGTCAAATTGTAGGAATCCCTGTTACCATGGAAATTGCCAGTGATCTGTTGGATCGGCAGGGACCAATATATAGGGAAGATACTGCTGTTTTTGTTAGTCAATCTGGTGAAACTGCAGATACTTTACTTGCACTGCAATATGCTTTAGAGAATGGTGCCTTATGTGTTGGCATAACAAATACCGTTGGTAGTGCAATAGCAAGGAATACACATTGTGGTGTACATATAAATGCTGGTGCTGAGATAGGGGTGGCAAGTACCAAGGTAAAATTTATATTTCAAGGAGAGATATATCTACACACACGTGCTTATGTGCATGCATGTATATGTATGCAGATGTGCTTGTTATCATTCTGTAAGTGTATATTATTTTATATCATATCGATTGCTTTATTCACATTGATATTTGTAATAGGCGTACACAAGTCAAATAGTGGTGATGGCTATGTTGGCACTTGCAATAGGAGGTGACACAATTTCTAATCAGGCGAGAAGAGAAGCAATTATCGATGGTCTCTTGGACCTGCCAAGTGAGTTTCTATTGACTGATCAGAACTGGTTTTGGTACCTTCTGTAGCATCTAATTAATGACAATGTCCTCATGGTATAAAATTCTTTCAGAAGTCTCTACTGTTAGATATCATGTGCGGGTGAATATGAATGCTTGTAAGGTGTTAGGGTAGTTGATGTGAATTGTATGACGTGTTGCAGATAAAGTCAGGGAGGTGCTGAAAAAAGACCAGGAGATGAAGGATCTGGCAAAGTTGTTAATGTCTGAGCAGTCTCTTCTTGTATTTGGAAGAGGATTTAACTACGCAACAGCTCTGGAGGGAGCTTTGAAAGTAAAGGAAGTGGCTCTTACGCACAGTGAAGGAATACTTGCTGGTGAAATGAAGCATGGTCCTTTGGCATTGGTGGATGAAAATCTTCCAATTATTGTTTTAGCTACTCGTGACGCTTGCTTCAGGTTGGTTGTGTTCAATTAGGAATGGCTATAATGTCTGGGTTTGAAAGTGACATTAATATTTTCAATTTTACGCAGCAAGCAGCAGTCTGTCATTCAGCAACTTCATGCTCGCAAAGGCCGTCTTATAGTTGTGTGTTCAAAAGGGGACGCTGCTTTGGTGTCTCCTGGTGAATCTTGTAGGGTAATTGAAGTTCCATCTGTCGAAGACTGTCTTCAACCTGTAATTAATATAATTCCGTTACAGGTGTGTTAACTAACTTTTCAAGTCATTTTTGCTTTATTTCATACCAGTTGTGCGATATTAGTGAACTTAAGGGGATGTGAATTTTAGCATGAGAACGGTTCTTGTGCTAAATTTGGTTAAATTTGCTGGTGTTTCCTTCATCAACAGTGAGCGTTAATGTTAATGTTGTATTGAAAAAAGACTTAGTCCATGCTAACAGTTGATTTAATGTCAGCTGCTGAAGAAAAAGAACATTACACCAATTTTAAAAGATTGTGTTATATTGCTTCCTGAGCAAAAATGCGTTTTAACCCTTCTCCTTTGTTAATCTTTCTGTATTTGATGTGTTAATCTTTCCGTATTTGAGTGCTTCTAATGTAAAAGATGTGTTGTTAAATATCTGTAGATTTTAACTTCCTGAACTCCTATTTGCTAGCCTTGCTGTTCGATTTCTTTGTTGTTCCTTGAAAACTTCTCAGTTTTCATTGTTATGGATTTTACTTGGGAAGGTTTCTACTTGTATGTTTTAACAATGTGTCATCTCTCTGATGTAGTTACTGGCATATCATCTCACTGTACTTAAAGGATTAAATGTTGACCAGCCTCGGAATCTCGCCAAGAGTGTCACAACCCAGTGAAGTTGTATTGATTGACATTCTCATGCGTCTATTTGTTTATGTATATTTTTGTGTTCCAGTACAAAGTAACTTAACGAGAAACTTAACATGTGTAATATTGAGGGAAGGGGAATCCAGGTATTCAAATCATATGGCTTAGGCTGATTCAAGAACCAATGAAATTGAGGCCCTTAACATTCTAATCTTTGTTCTGGGGTGCACTTTTTTTTTAAAAAATTAATGCCTCTCAATTTTGCTTTTGGGCAATTGACTATTAAGGACCTACAACAAAATTAGTTATAATAAAGAACCTTGAATTTTTGATTTTTTTTTTACAAAAAACTTCTGAAATCTAAACGAATTTTTTTAGGGAAAATTAAAGAGAAGGACCTAGAAAAATATTTACTAAAGAGGATATTAAAATTTGTGATTATGAAGAAGGAACAAACGTCAACATGTAAATTTAAAAATTAAATTATCCCTAACTAAATTTCTAAATTTTCCTTAACCAGAGTTCACACATGCTCCATGTTTGGAGATCAACTACTATAATATGCATCATGTTTCATGTTTCATGTTTTAACAATATTGGAATAATAATTAAAATAAATAATAATATCTTGGTTAAAATAAGTAATAATTAAAAATTATTGAAATTAGGAGAATGATATAAAATTAAATCTGAATAATTTTATTTATTTATGAGTTAATATAATTTTCGGTGCATCGAATTTGTATGAGCTGTAGTTTTAGTTCCTCAAATTTAAAACAATAGTCAAGTTAACAAATGTTTCAGACAGAAAAAAATTTAAAAAACTAGAACTTATGGTTTAAAAATTAAAAAACTAAAATCACAATAAAAACAAACTTGAGGAATTAAAAATTATATTAACCCTTTAGTTTTTTATTATTTTAAAAATTCAAATTAAGAAAAATAATTATATTTATTAAAATTTTTATTTAAATTTAAATATATTTATAGAAATATATATAGTCAACCAATTTATAAAATGAAAAGTAACGAAGGAGATATTTGAAAAAAAAAGAAGGGAATTTCAATTGGAACGAAAGAAGGATAAAGATAAAAAGTTAACGATCAATAGCACTGTTCACGTAGATGAACAGTGAAGCTAAGCCGTAAATCAGTAAATTAATTGCAACACTAAGTTTTCTTGTTCGACAATAAAAAAAAGACGGCAGAGAAGGGATCAATTGCAAACTGCCTCACTCTTAAACATGGATGCGTTTTTATCTAAATAACAAGGAAGTATAAATTTGATAGATATTTTCTCTAGCTTGTTTTAAGCATGACTACAAGTAATTCAGTTATCACAATGCAGACTTTTTGCGTTGCGCCGATTAGTAGGAAGCATCAATTTTGTTGTGAATAATAGTCACCATTGTAAGGCAGAGTATTTTGTTCTGGTCAAGCAACTATGAACCTTCCAGACAGGTTTCATTAGATAATATATTTATGGTTTCGCAAATAAGGCAACAAGAAGGGAATTAAGATTTTGTTTTGATTCGCTATTATTCTCAGCATGGGGACTCTGGTCTCAGGAGTATATACAGAAAACGGTTCGTACTTCAATGACTATAAATCTTGCTCTATGTACAAGATCTATAATTTGTAGAATTAATTGCACCGGTCCAAGGCAAGGACTGGGACAAAACCTGCAACCCCATAGGGAAGCATGTGCCATGTTCAATAAGAAAGCATCTAATTAATCAGAGGGTTGAGTGGACTGGCATCCGCCACTCTGGATAACTTTGATGGGTTGCTAACCGTTGGCTCAACATCCAGCCATTTTTGGATGAGTTGAAATACTCTTTTATCTCGTAGGAGTCCACGATGAGAAGCAGTAACTCCTACTCTTTCAACTGCTGGAAGTCCATCAGCCTAAAATATGACGACAAAAGAATTATTTCGAATCCTCAGGTATAAGTTTCATTACATTACCAAAAGGCATTGGAAAATTAGTTAAGCATTTATCAAGGATACTGTATGGTAGACAATATTAGGCATTAAAAGGACAAGAATCAAAACTTGTAATCGAAATGAGAACATTGAGACAAAAATATAAGATTCATATTAAGCATGTACAAAAAAGATTTGACGTGGCATCTGTCAAAGAGAGTGATAAAAATTATTTAAGATGATTTGGACATATACAAAGCATGTCGATGGATGCATTGATGAAGAAAGTCGAATATATGCTCTTGAGTACTATGAAGAGAGCGGCAGACCACAAAAAAAGAATTTCAAAGGAAGTTATAGAATGGGAAGTTTTGGTGAATAATATATCTAATATGGCATAATGACATCGTGCTGTAATCAACCCCACCTGTACAATGTTAACTAATATCCTTCCATGCCTGCTTCTAGAAAGACAGCAGACTGCATGGCAAAGGCAATTTGCTTTGATCCCATTTAATGGTTAAACAAATCTCAGAATGACATGCTCCAACAATTTCAGCAATACTGAACTCCACATTACTCTCAAGTTTTCTTTGTCATATTCCCCGTAATTAACTAGCAGCTTGCAAACAAGCCCCGTCAATGGGCGTAGAGAACTAAGGATCTCAAGAGGGGAGAACATGCATTTGATGCTGTATACTAGCTATATTTAAATTGATCCTTTTTTTTGCCATCATATTTAAATTGACGCTAGATGAACAAATAATCATGAACCTCATGCATCTCATACCTCCATCACAGTCTTCTTTTAATTTAGCATTAGCGGATGACCAGAGCAATTAGAGAGGCTTCAAGTAAACTACAGCATAGTATATGCATAATACTAAATGATAAAAAAACAAAGCACCTTGGCTGATTCAGCAGGCACTGTTCCATCCCCTTGGACGTATGAATATTGCGGCTGGAAACAAAGAAGGGAAGTAACTAAAAAAACAGAGACAACACATAGTCTGTATTTTAGGTGCAACGTTTCTGAGCCCAAAAAAAAAATTCAAGTTCACGGAAAGAGCAAGTTTATTGATGGATGTAAAAGTATCTTGAGAAATTCTTGAAAGTACAATGCAATATTTATGCATGTGACAAACATTTGGACAAGGACCCACAATTAGAGACTTAATATTCTTCTAGAGAGAAAAAAGAGGAATGCTGTCACAAATCTATTCAAAAGTGTGGAAGTTGAAATTTTAGAATTTAGGTCCAAGAAATTCCAAAGGTGGGAGTTTTCGTTGTGCTCAATGATGTCCTAGTTGATTCTGAAACCTACCAAACAACATTAACAATTCATTCTTGAAAAATAATAGGGAAAATTACAATTAGGTCCCACCTAAGGGAATTAAATACAAAAAAGTCTTTTGAAATCATGAAATTATTCTGAAATCCCAAGGGACCTTATTGTAATAAATTTTATTTGTTTAATTACCAAATTACCCCTTTTTTTTTATAAAGTTTGTATTAACAACTGAAAGAGCAGTGGTTGACAACTATCACGGCCACGTATAGACAACTCATGCATTACATTTTGTGATGTGCTGAGAAAATATGCTGTTAATACCTGCTGTGATAGTTATCAATCCTTGTAGCTTAAGTTGTCAATGACTACTCTTTCAGTTATTAATACAAACTTAAAAAAAGTAATAAGGGCAATTTGGTAATTAAACAAATAAAATTTATTGCAAAAAAGTCTCTTGGGATTTCAGAATAATTTCATGATTTCAAGAGACCTTTTTGTATTTAATTCCCTTGGGTGGGACCTAATTGCAATTTTTCCAAAATAATATTGAGCCTTCTACCAGTCAGAATGTCAGATGAAAATTTGAATTTAAAAAAATAATACCATGTTTTTATTTGCAGCTTTTTCACCTGTGTAGTATAACATGAGTTTTGAGAGTCAGAACTGTTCAAAAGTACAAGCATGGATTTCTAATTTCTATACCTCAATTACAAGATTATGCTAGATTATTGAGCCCCCCAACGCATAGATCAGAAAATAGCCCAGAATCAATTGACTATTTTAGAGGAAGAAGATATCAAAGTCAGCATTAGAGAACTTTATCTATGAAATATGATGGAAGGTGGCTCACCATTGTGTGGCATATTTCAGATAAATCTTCTATAGGAGATTTTTCTGAGCCGTAACTGCAATAGGCAGAGACATGTGAGATGTAACAATAGGAGAGAACAAATTTGAAACTTCTGAAGTTTGAAAAGAAATTTGAGAAGTAATGTTAGAGAGAGATGAATACAGAGAAATGGGGGCCATCCATTTGGGTCCTCTGAGGACCTTCACCTCCCTATCTCTCAAACAGTATCCTGTAAAGTACCATACTCTTTGTATTCTTAGAATATCAATTTTCACATAGGAACTTTCCTTCATAGTGCACTGGAAGTTGCATCTAAACTCTCTTGATACGAAGTCCAATGGGCAAAATCCAGATGTCAATAACAAGATTATCCTTTTCAAACAGCAAAAACTAAGGAAAACAGATTGAGTTTTGATCTAAAAAAGTATGTGGAGCCAACGCCTCAATGGTTCAGCTTAACAGGAAAGTTTAGATTAGATACAGCAGACGGCATAGTTGAATGCAATGAGAGTTGTTAGGAGAATTAGGTCTTCAATATCTATACTGCCAGATGATTCAATTTCTTCCCAAAAAGAAAAAAAAAATCATATTTCAACTCAAACTAAAACTTCGAAATCATACAAGAGCAATTGACTCACGTACCAAACATCAAAGGGTGTGTCAAACGATGTTCCATAAATATTATAAAAGCAGACACCATCTGGTAGTTTAGCATTGCATATGACTTGACGAGTTTCAGCAGCCCATTTGAGGATAGCTAAGTTAAAGGGCAGTGCTATTGTTTTTCCATCATAATTTAGCTGCAAAAATTACAAGTAATAAGCCCTCATCATTAGCGGGGAAAAACTTGCAGTGCATAGAGCTACAACTATGCGTAGAAATTTAAACAAGAAATTTAAGCTGTGTGCAGGGGGAAAAAACAGAGACATGTCTGATATCAATTTCATGATTAGCACAAATTCTTCTCTTCAAGTTAAAAAAAAAGAATTTTGAGTAGTGGCATTTTTAGTCTTGTTCTAATTTTTGGGTCAAGATGTTTCATGATAGACAGGTGACAATCTTGCTAGTGCAGAATCCAAGCTCGTCTCTATTGAAACAGTGTAACCGCAACTCACAAACAAAGCCTGATGGCCAGTAGCATGAAGGTATAATCCAGAGTCATTACGGTCTGGTAGAGGCCATCACAGCAATCTCTTGTATGAACTTACATGATGGCCAAGAAAATAACGGCTTGTGTGGTAGTAGGGTCTCTTCCTAGAGTAAATCATGACAGTACTATGAATGAACTGTTAGCCATATCCACTACAAAATTTAAGTAATCAGTAAAGTGATTTCTATGCTATTGTCATTATTCACAAACCAGTGATAACTAACAGAATACTTAACTTATTTAAACCTTCCCCATTGATTTTATCATCATTCATTTCTATCCCCCCAGGAAAAAAAAAAATCTTGTATCAAAAAAGTCTTGTAGCCCCAATGTGCTCCATTTCAACACGTTTGGCATAAGAAAACATATAAAGATTGCATAATGAAGAGTTCTTTAATGAAAATCCCCACCTGATATTGTCAGAATCAACCTTTTGAATGTTCACTCACCAACATTCCTTCAACATTCAAACCAACTCTCATCGGAAAAAACAGTGAAAAGTCCCTGTTCAGAAATTTTATTGGCCAGAAAAAACTTGAATTTGAGTACTGGTACTTTTTATTTATGAAATCTTGCAAAGTACCAGTAGCTTCTGTGAATAAAAACACATCAGATCCTGCTAACAAATAAAATTTTCAAACAGGAACCTTTTACTGATTTTTCCAATTTAATTTTAAACTGCTAACACGAATCTGTCCATAGTTAAGCTTCATTCTCACTCCATAAAATAAAGCTCACATCTCTTAGCTGGGAAAAAAAAAAAATCACTCCGCATAAGCAAGGAATTAATAATAACTCGAGATCAATCCTTGAAAGACAGCATAACAAAGGAGCTTTGAACATCTAGAAGTATTATGTTAGGACCACTTTCGGAAACCTAGGAAAATACATGTTGAGGGAAAGGTACCTTTTTGTTGGACAGAATTTTGACTTGCTATTTTGAAGAAAGAAATAGAGAGTAGGGTTGCTATAGGACTGCTATAGTCCATGAGTTGGGGGTTGTGAAAGTCACTTTTTGGATCTTTCCTTTGGTTGAGCAGGAGGGGACAGTTGTGTGACAGAGTAGTGTTTTGTCTTGAATAGATTGAGCTGTGGCCATTGCTTTTACTCTTTGTGTGTATTCTGCCTTAATTTATTAAAGGACTATTGAGTTTTTGTTGTGGGTTATAACATATTAACAATGATGCTTTTTACAAGCTTCAATGAAAGCTCATAATGAGTACCTCGTTGTGCCTCAGCGCTTCCTCAAATAAAGATATACTCTCATTTGGTCCATAAGAGTCCAAATTGACATTAATCTCCCCATCCTTGGTATGCTTTCGCCATACTTGAATTTCTGGCTGTTTTCTCCATTTATATTCCGGATTCGCCAGCATCTCATAGATTGATGGACATTCAACTAGCTGCCATGGTAAGAAAGGTGATAACATAATACTTTGTCATTGTGAATTTATGAAAATGACAAGTACATGAACAAATTAATACAAATAACAGTAGACCAAAATGTAAGAAAATCACTATTGTTTCATCACCAATGACTCCTGCCATCAAATTTAAATGAAGTTCGTTTCATCACATGTTATCGAAGTCAATGCAGGCATGAATACACATTATTTATTAATCTTCCTAGAGAGAGTTAGAAGAATAGAATTTAATTGTGAGTTAGTTATAACTCACATTAGTGTAATCATAAACCTACAGCTAGTGGGGAAGCTGGGGATGCCGATTGAAGAAATAACAAATAAAGTGACAGTAGCAGGAGGTGGTAACTTGTCCACGGAGCATCCTGTGTGCCTCCAGTCGTCCGTTGCATTGTCATAGAGGATCCCCAGGCTCAGGTAGTGCCATTTCTGTCTGTTAACGTGGGTGAGGTTTGACTCCATTTCCGTCTCTGATATTATCTTTGCCAACGCTCTCCCCAAGCTCTGATACCATGAGAGGCCGACTAAACAGTACTACTATTCAGAAGCCATCATACAACATATATACAGGGTTCCTAATAAATGCTAGCAACAATCCTGGGATGTGCAATCAGAAATAAAATCCTGAAGATATGTCCATGACTGACTTATCTAAATGTCACCGATGTTAGAGTCTTTAAGAATATTGAATTAAGTCCAGGACTGACTTGTATATCTCCGAGCATCTAAATTGAAGAAGAGTATTTGACTATTTAGACTGGGCCCAAGCCCATTTACTAACATTCATCTATGCACTAAATTACCCCACTTTCTAAAGGAAAAAAGGCACGCACAGTATCCAGAAATGTAACAGAACATATTCAAAAGCAATAAAATTAAACAGATCAAATAAAGATAATTTCTTATCTGTCACTGCCATCCTCAATCTCTTCATGACCATCTTGATTTGAAAAGTGAAAAGCTCTTCAGGTGCCACTACCCCTATCTTTTGTCTCAAATATGAAAACAAAGGATGAAGCCTTTGTTAACATATCTGCTACCCAATCTACTGGTTGAACAAAATTCCCTTACAGAACACCACTAGCCACCTTCTCCTGAGTAAAATGGATATATAACTCCGTGTGCTTTTTCTTAGGAAGAACTAGATTAGCTGCCAATGGCACAGTTCCAGAATCACCACACTGGGCACAGGATGCCCCTAGAACACTAATATTTATTTCTTTCAACCATGAAACAACCCACATGATCTCAAACAACATCAGCAAAGAACAATACACTACTTGTCGCTTTCTTGAAGTCCAAGTAAAAGTCAACAAGTATGTAGACCAGCCACTAATGAAAGAGGCTCTTCTGCTAGTTTACTTGTCTCTGGCGCAAACTTAGGTACGGCATTACCTATAGTCACACAACTGAGGGTCTCCACTTCTGGACAGGAAGTTGTATCATTGGAAAATGGTCAATGGACAGCTTGAGTTTGATGTTCAGTCTGTGGTTGATGGAAGTCAGAATTTGCCCTCCGTTAGAAGTTCACCTGATGCTAAATCTGGTGGTGAGTAGGAGTTTGATGCATCATAACATGCTCGAAATCAAATATTTTCAAGCTGAGAGTCTTCATGACTTGACAGGCCCATCAGATCCTCAAGTGAAGGGAGACATTTTATTTGAATGTAAATTTCCCACCTCACTTGGCAAGGGCAATAAAATTAAAGGTTTTTAGTCTATTTGGAAATCTTCCCAAGCAAAAAAACTAAGGTGTTGCTGCATCATGTTAAAAGGGAAAAAAACTGAGCCATTTAATAGAAGGGACTTGGCCAAAAAAAAAAAAAAAGAAAGGACAAATTTACCAGTTGATGCATAGTCCACCTTAATACAAAAAGGTAGCTTTCAAAACCATCAACAAATTGCAGTCCAGTTAATAAAGAATCATTGATGCATCCTGGGGCTCCTGTTCATGCACAATATGAGTTCAAGCAAGGGTGGATAAAATATCAAGTGAAATCAAATGTTTATCCCTTTATATTTATGATTCAGAGCTCTGAGCCTTTTTTTGAGGCATTATTTGTCCATTTTTCTCTAATTTAATCTCATCAACAATTTAAGATTTCAAATATGTTAAATGTTTTCAAGGAAAAATTGAACAACCAACATATTTTGGTATTTATATTTATATAGTCTTCGGGAACACATTGGAAATGAAAGCATTATTGAGAAAAAAATGGCTTAAGACAGTAAAATATAAACTGCTTTGCTCCAGAGAAACAATTTTAATGAAGCGGAATAGGCCAGAGTTACAAATATTAAGGAGCAGATAAAGCCACCCCCACCACTTATTAATATAAGGCGATGAAATCTCACATGTGAATTGTGGGGCAAGATAATAAGTCTTGGTAGTATTATGAATTTATAATGCAAACAATTTGCTCCAATTTCATTCACAAATTTTGTATTGATCATCTGCCTTTCATAAATGGTTAAAATTCTAATAAAATAAGTTATTGGTGCAAATTTATAAATATTGATACTTTAGTGTTGTTTAATAACCTGCATAAGTGACTGCAAGATAAGCAACAAGAAATGAGGAGGACGAGGACAAGCACAATATTCAGCCGATAATTGAACAAACAAAACCAATTAACTCCCCAGTTTACTGCACATTTAATCTTAAATTTGTCACAAGTTGCACATAAGAGTACCCTTCTGATCATCCCCCTTCTCATACTCTCAAACTCAAAAAATATAAAGTTTTGGAGCAATAATGTCATGAACATTCAATACGGATGCAACATAACATGCATACGCATTGAAAAGGCTAAAGTATATGTTTGATCTCTAAATTTACATCATATTTAAGTTTAGACCCTTAATTTTATAAAAGGTATTTTTAGTCTATAATGTTAAGAGTGTTACTCTCATTTAACAGAAAAATATTGACTTCGCAAATTTACATAGTAACTTCGCAATTAAATGCTAACAAAATGTGTTTTAAATTTTAATTCTTTAAGATAATAATTTTTTATTTTAAAATTTAAGCATGCTTTGTTAGCATTTAATTGCAAAGTCACCATTTAAATTTGCTGAATCAATATTTTTCGTTAAATGAGACTAATGACATTAACATTAAAAGATTAAAAATATACTTTATAAACTTAGGAAACTAAATTTGAACTAAATATAAATTTAAAAGACCAAATGTATACTTTAGTCCATTGAAAATTATGTTGAGAGCATTATTCAAACAAGACATGGAAGAGAAATAAGCACAGAAACACTCACAACGGAGGAATTACCTTGGAAAGGACAAGCAATACAAATCCACTTTCGCACATATTTTGAAAATACCTGCCAAGGTAGGATGTATTTAATAGCATAGAAATTTTTTCCAACCATTCTTTCATATATGCTGTACAAATTGTTCAAAGGTCCAAAGTGGTCAATGGTCATAAAGATAAGGGCAAATGACATATAAGGACCCTCTAAAAACATTAATTACATTTAAGGACCATAAAAGTTTTTAAATTCCAAAAAAGGTCCATAGTCCTTGGCTGGGATTAAATGAGTTAAATTTTTCAGTATTCATCATTAATATTTTCAATACTCAACTTTGATCTTTTAAGTACTCATTTAAAATTTCAAGTAATCATTTTTTCAATTTTTTCAGCACCCATTTATGGTATTTTTAATACTTATGTTACATTTTCCAGTACTTTGATTTTTTTCAGGTTCTGAAAATATTAAAAATAAGTATTGAAAAAAAAATCAACGCAAAGAAATCTTAATCCAAATCAAGGACATTGGTCTTTTTTAAAATTTCCAAAATATATAGTTATGACTCATAATTAATGTTCATAGAGATAATGCTGCTCACATCACTGTGAAGCGACATGAAACACAATATCAGTATTCCTCCCATTGAATGCGAAATTATATCAACTTTTCTTCCACCAGAGGCTTTGTAAGCAGTTTCCAACTTGACTCTAAGCCCTTCCATCAACTTCTCGATTCTGCCAACAAGGTTTATAGGTTGAGAAGTTTGTGCATGGCAAAGAGACATCAAGAATTTCCGGTCATATAAAGTTGTCACAAATGTTGTTTAGCAGCTAACAACTTAAGATTCTGCAGTAATTACCGATTGCTTTGCCGGAAATCATAACCATATCCAAACAATGTGGTTCCCTTCTCGTATCCACATCTAACAAGCATGTCAATCACATCATGAAAATGGTACACCTCAGTCAAATGCACACATTTTACCACCTGAAACATGGAAGAAAAACATACCAAAATAATTTTGAAGTTGAAAAAAAAAAAATCGCATTCACTATAAGCTGCATTCCCATAAAGAATAAGATTCCAGGAGTCGGGAAGTGCAAGAACAAGTAAAAGAGTGCATTGATGAAATGAACAGCATAATGAAACTGCAATGCATTAATTTGACGATCACTATCGCACTAGATGTTTTGTTAGCTTTAAAATCCATGGTTTGCAATGACTTCCACGGTGCAGACAACCAAGGGAGCATAATCTAAGAAAGCCGGAAAGGGGACAAAAATTCTATCATATAGTTGGAAGGAAGGACGACACAGTAAAATTTAATGTGAAGTCCTCTGTATGAATATCCTATGATCATCATTGGCCACCGCATTCCAAAAAGGGAGACAAACGCAACAATAAGTAGAAGAATATAAATATATATATATAGCATGTTGACTTTGTCACAGCCGCACCAGGCTTAAAAGCCACATAAGAGTGACAGTAAGATCTGTGCTTACCAATGATGGATCTAAAATATCGATTGCGTACAGACCATAATCATCTTCAGGGACAACAATTTCAGTGTTTTTGTCTAATGTTTCTGCGTAACCTGTGTACACAAATAAAAAGCTTAGAGACAAATTTATGGAGACAAATTACCACCAGCGCATTTCATTGATGATGCATATAAGACGTAGTAATGCAAGCTTCGTAGCTAAAGAAAGTTCGACCATTGCTTACAGTTTAATAATCGTATACCTTTTTACCCCACAAAAGCAAATATGTTTGAACAATGGGCGGTTCATAAATAAGTCGTAAATTGAAAGCAAGCAGAATAATTTGATTTAACTGCCTCAAACATTAAATCAACCAAGGAACGACCATGTGGCATGTGCAAATCCATGCAGAAACAGAGAAATAGCAGACCTGTCTGGGGATTATAGAGGGACCATAGCTTCTTTCTGAACTCCAAATCAGCAAGAAGAATCCTAACCCATACCCGAGACTGAAACCCGAATTTCTTGGGCCTAGAATGAAGAATGGAGCCTCCCATGCCAGAAACGAGGAGAACCGGGTTACGGTCCTTGGTTGCCTCCCTGGAGCTTCGGCCTTGGAAAGAGCAAAAAAATTGCAAGCATTCTGCCATGGCTGGCTGCTGACTTCACTCCTTCGACCCTGCAACTGGAAAGTAGTCCTCGAGAAGAGGGGGGAGGGGGGGGGGGAGAATTATGTGGAATCATTCTGCTGGGTAACCGTCGTTCCTCTCGGTCAAACCGTCTTCAACTTAACAGTCGCAGCATCTAAATGGGTATATTCCTGCTTTTTGGACCATTACTAATACGCGGATCCGCTTGAGTTTGACATTTTTCTTCCTTATCTTCCGTCAAATTAATTTAGTTTTATTATTCTTCTTAATATATGACCTAATTATTAAATTAATTTTAGTTTTAATTATCCTTATAGATACTCCCTCAGTCATAATCAAGTAAGTGAGGGAGGAAAAATATTAAAAAAAATGATTATGGTGTTTTAAGAAAACCATGTTATATTTCTTATAATTAACTAACTTATCTAACTTTTTTAATTTAATTAAATTAGTTAAATAGATCTTATATTAAAAATCAGAAGAGTATTTCATTTACTATCATGCACTAATTAATCCCCTATTTCCCTCTCCTTTTTGAGTTTTCTCAGCTCACCGGACCCTTTTTTCAGCCAATTTTTTGAGTAAAAGTTACACATATCTCAAACAACACAATTTATTCATTTAAGATCTTCAGGACCTAAGAATAATATATTTTAAATAAAAAATTACATTATTGTTCCTATCCTTATTGACAAGTTCCTAAGTGAAAATAAACAAGTTAATAGAAAACTATTGACAAGTCAGAAGATGTCAGTTGAGAACTAAATTAATGGGATAATATAATTTCTAGATGAGATCAAATTATTATTAAAAAAATATTATGTAACAATCTTTAAGCTGAAATTATGTGTGACCAAAGCATATACACTAATATTAGAGGAAATAATGGGTTTATACCATAATTTTGTTGTAAACAACCATTAACAAAATTATAAGTACGGACTAACAAGTAAATGGAAAGCTATTGACAAGTCAAAAAATGTTAGTTAACAACTAAATTTATGAGATAATATAACCTTCATATAATATCAAATTATAACAAAAGAATATAAGAAAGTTTCTCAATTTCATGTTATGTTGAGGTTATATTATCTCATAAATTTAATTGTCAACCGATATTTCTTGACCTGTTAATAGCTTCCTATTGATTTGTTAATATATACCTTTGAGCTTGTAAATGACTTTCCACAACAAAATTATGATATAAATCTATCATTCCATATAATATTAATATGCATGCTTAAGTGACAAATGATTTCAGTTTAAAGATTGTTATATAATATTCTTTTGTTATAATTTGATCTTATATAGAGATTATATTATCTCACAAATTTCGATGTCAACTAAAACTCTCGACATGTCAATAGCTTTCTATTGACTCGTTAATCCATGCTCATGAAATTGTCAATTAGAAACAAGGACAATCACCTAGTTTTTTTATATTTAAAATGTATTATTCTTAGATCACATGAGACCTTCTATTTATTTAAGATTTTAAAAGATTTTATATTAATAAATCGTGTTGTTTGGGGCGTGGATGGTTTTTAAAATGCCAACACTCTTTTGGCCACCGTACAATCAAGGAGTTTAGTTAATTTTATTAGTGCAACAATTTGTATTGGGATTAAAGTATATCTAACACTCTAAAATGTGTTTTTTTGTTTTAATGCTGCCTGCACAAAAAATATTTTAAAGTGCTAAATGCACTTTAAAAATAAAAGTAGTGGATACACACAAAAAATACTTTAATGTGCTAAATGTAGTTAAAAAAATATTTCAAGATGTTAGATATATCACAGAATATTTTAAGGTGTTAGATGCACTATAGAAAATATTTCGAGATGTTGAATGTACCTTAATGCTTTGCATTATTTTCCAATTTTTTTCCAAGTCATTTTTACCTTTAATCCCTTAAAATTATTGGGATTTTATTACTACTATTTCTAATTTTTAATATAAGATCTATTTGATTAATTTGAAAAGATTCAAAAATTATCAAATTATTTAATTATAGCATATATTACATGATCTCTCTAAAATACTTATATATATATCATTAGATCATATAAATAGGACAAATTAGTTTAAAAAAACAATAAATATTATTACTTTAAATCAATTTAATTTAATAAGTTTCCTTATCATAGGAGGATTTAGTATCGAAAAGATGCTGATGATTTCTTATTTTTGCCAGAGAAAGATCCTCATCCTGATAGAACCTGCTGGTAACAGATTATTGTTGGAATTATAAGTGAAAGTGTGAAACCCTTACTGCTATGGAAAATGCAGAGGATTATATTTAATAGCCTCTGCATGCTCAGTATTTCTGTCACAAGAAGGCCATTCCCTCTGAAGCTAGTATTCGATGCTTAGAAACAGATGAAAACAACAGAAAATAGGAAATAACTCTACCCCAGCCTGGTTATCGAGAGACCAGGTCTCCTCACTCAAAACAAAGGGGTTTGGGGGTTTCGCTCGCAAGTATGGAAGAGAGATTTCAGTGGTTGTTTGGTATCCTTAAGAAAATTGCACTTTTTATGAGAAGGCGAGAACGAGAGAATGGAGATAGAAGAAAACCCAAGGGAAAAGTAAACGGGGAGGAGGGAATAAGAATAGCGATTTTGAAATTAAATTCAGGAGCTTCGAAATAGCTGCGACGGGAGAGTTTAAGTGCAGAAGAGCCCAAATCCAAGAACATAGATCGAAGGTAATATATAGTAGTCTAGGTTTCAACATTTTTCTTATTTACTCTTGTTCCGCCAGTTAATACTCCGTTTTTTGAATTCGGACATTGAATCCCTCCTTCTTTTTTTTTTTTTTAATTGTTTTTTTTGGTCTTGTTGCGGAGATCGTTATTCTAACACCACATCTAAAGCACCAATTTTTCTTTTGGTTTTTAATATAAAAAAATTTAGGTGAGTTACGCAGATTACAAGCACCAACGTTGACAGGTATTGACGGATGAAGGCAAATAATAGGGCTGCAAGATTTAATACAAAAAAATTTAGGCGAGTTACGACAGCTATCAATCACCAATGTCGACAGGTATTGATGGATGAAGGCAAATAATAGGGCTGCAAGAATGAATTTTTTTCCGTTTTTTGTTTTTTTTGGCCAACATGGCTGTAAGAAGAATGATCCAATAACTCGACGGCATTGCTAGGTGTTGGGAAGCAACGGTTAGTAAAGTTCGGCTAAGAAGAGAGGAAGCGGAAGCAACGTAATCGCACCAATATCAATGGATAATGACGCCGAGGATCCCTTGCCGGTATTTCTGGGAATGTTGATGTTTTGTATACCCGTACTTTTTTAAGAAAGATGACGAGTTTTTTTGTTATAATATTAAGGGTATTTGAGTCTTTCGGATTTTATCAAAACGTCAGTTGAAGTCTTGAAGAGACATTTGTATGAACAATCAATGTTTCTGCAATAAATCGGTTTGCTTGGCTTTTGATCAGTTTTAGAGGTTAGAGCTGTCCTGAAAGCCCATGCTATACATAGTAGTACCATATACCTAATTCAATCAATAATCAGTACTCATATTCTTAATATAAGACCCAATTAATATTAATACTTGAAAAATTCTTAATTAAAACCTTTAATTTCAAAAAAATTGATGAAAATTATTTATTAAGAAATTGTATTAGATAATATGACCTGAATTTGAATACTGATCTTTTATACTCCTCTTGTTCTTAATATAGAATCCAATTGTTGAATTGGTTTTGATCCTAAATATAAAACCTATTTCTCATATTTATCATTTTTTTTCTAAATTATCCTTGTGAATACTCCCCCAACCATAATCAAGTAGAAGAGGAAAATAGAGTATTAAGAAAGATGATTATAGTATTTTAAGAAAAATCTGTCACATTTCTTATAGTTAACTAACTTACCTAACTTTTTTAATATAATCAAATTAGTTAAATAAATCTTGTATTAAAGACTGGAAGAGTATATAAAATTCTATAAAGTATGTGTATAAACATATCATATTCTTTGGCAGAAGACTTTTTCCACTTAAGCTCGCATCATACACAAATCATAAAAATTAAGCCTCAAATACCAATCATTTGTTTAAAGGACTAGCACGTCTACCACCAATGAGTCCAGCGACTTTATGGGCATCAATAGACTCAGACGACATTCTCAAGGTGCGCAAATTATATAGTTCTATCAAAATTTCAGTATGAAAGGTGATAATTGACCAATACCAGAAAAATGTTTCACAACCACCTAAGTTTTGTTTCCATCATAATGTCAGAAATTATCATCCAGGGTGAAGCTCAGTCAGTCATCTTCTGCGCACAGCAGAATTTGTTCCCCGCTGGGTCTCAGCACCAGCTTGGCCAACGGTCTGTTCTTCTGGCATATTCATTGCTTGGGTAATGGCATTCATAACAATAAGTCCAAGCGGGATCAAATACATCCACTGAAACAAAGAATTCGAGTTAAAATTTGGATTTAGAAAAATGAAAAGAAGGCAGATCGAAAGAAGGTTGGGGAGTCGACTTGGATCTCAACCAGCTTATACACCCTCTATTTTTAATTACAAGACAATTTTGATGGGTGTGATATTCCTAGCTACCCCCTCAGTTCTTTTCACAAGATCATTTGTCTGAACATTAAATGTCCTTTTACTAATTTTGCCGCTAATTAATTTTTCATTTTCCCTCCCTCTTTTTCTCATACTACATTCTCTTCCACTATTTATCTCATCATTAGTAATTTTCTCTCTTAGTTAGCCTTATATTAAATAAGAGCATATTTAAGATATAGATTAGTTAAAACTGTTTTATTGATACGGATAAGGTAATTTTGTTTTATAAAAAGAACAGAGGAGAGCGTCAAGTTACTCACATATTTAGCCCAGAAAGACCTCTCTGGTGGCTTCGCAACTTCACCCTCTCCATCCTCACCAACTACGTCTTCAGAAAATACGGGAGCCCTATGGAAACAAATAGTAATATAATAAAATTTGTCTAAAAAATGGTGCAACAGCTGTAATACTAAATAATAATATGAACAGTCAAATTATAGGCAGAGCTGTG